GCAGATATCAGAATTACTAAAAAGGAAGTTTGTCTAACACATTAAAATATACAAATCAGGGGCCAGTGTGGTAGTACAGTGGATAGGGCATTTGCCTTGCATGCAGCTAACCAGGGTTCAGTCCTCAGCATCCCGTATGGTCCCTGAGCACTGTGAGTGAGAGCCAATATTATCCCCTGATCATGGCCTGGTATGTCCCAAAAAACCAAAATAAATAAATGATTATAAATCAAAGCAACTAATCATAACCTCGGTTTGATTCCTGTAAGGCTATATAGTCCCAGGACCATCAGGAATGGTGCCAGAGCACAGAGTCAAGAGAATCCTTGAGCACCTTTACATATGGCCCCCCAAAATACCTGACATTATACATAACATCACTGTAACTGTCACTGTTCTCCCATTGTTCATTGATTTGCTCGAGTAGGTCTAGTAACATGGGTGAGACTTGGTTTTACTGTGTTTGGCATATTGAATATGTCACAGCGAGCTTGCCAGGCTTTGCCGTGCGGGTGGGATACTCTCGCTGGCTTGCTGAGCTCTCCAAGAGGGGCAGAGGAATCGAAGGTGGAGGAATAAAACTCCAGTTGTATGTATTTTAAATATATTTTGATGATGATTTTAGCTATGAGGAATTCAATTAATCTTTTTATATGACAGAATTTGCCCTATAACCTAAATTCTTAGTAACACTAGCCTTTCTCTCAGAAAGGAAAAAACTTTTAAAACTGCAATTCAAACAAATGCATTGATATTATTCCATGATAATTTAGAAAGAGAATACTTTTGCCTTAAATGTGTGAACTGTGCTCATTTACTATCTCTGACCTAGTCGCTGATACTCTTATGTCTATTTTTTACATCTATCTATAGCTACCTACAGATTTATCACCTCACGCTTACTAAATACAATGTATCTTTAAAACACTTTGTTTAGCATTAAACTTCTTATATCCATATTAATAGTTTTAATGTAAAAAAAATAAAGGCTGGTGACAGCCACCATTTACTTTTATAAGACAAAGATGGTAGTAGTTGAACATTTGAAAAAGAGAAAAACAGCCCTAAGGCAATGACTAGGCAGATAAAATATAAGGAAGGTGCATTTGACACATTGAGAGCCTGAGAGTGGACAGTTAATCCCATGGGATCCCCTGGATAGTTTTGAGAATTCTTAAGAATATTCTGGCCCAGTTTAAGACTCTTGCCTTGCAGAATTCCTCAAATCCAATCACTTGGTTCTACTGATGGGTTCCTGAACAAAATTTATGATTTATTTTCTTGCTCACAAAAATTATTAGATTTTCAATTTAAATCCCAGTAATGCATCAACATCCAGCGCAAATGTTTTCATATAATTTGTGGATGTCTCGAGTTACCGCTTAGGGAAGGGGCGGGACACCAAGATGGTACTCAGGAGGTCAAGGACCCCACTGGCAATTGAGTCACATTGGTCTGGCAGTTAAGTAAAGGGCCTGAGATTCAGTACTAGGGCCTGTGGACGTGATGCTATTATGACCCTGTGGTGCTGGGGACACCTGTGCAACTCTGGCTGAACTAGGAACTTTAGGATTGCATCCTAAGATGCTTGGGGACCATGTGGTACCCAGGCACCCACCAAAACTACTCTGGAAGACCTAAAGTCAAAATAGCACTATAACATTGTCCCTCCAATGTTCATCGATTTGCTCGAGCGGGCATCAGTAACGTCTCCATTGTGAGACTTGTTGTTATTGTTTTCGGCATATCGAATACACCACGGGAAGCTTGCCAGGCTCTGCTGTGAAGGTGGGATAATCTCGGTAGCTTGCTGGACTCTCCGAGAGAGATGGATAAATCAAACCTGGGTCGGCCTTGTGCAAAGCAAATACCCTACTCTCTGTGCAATTGCTCCAGCCCAAAGTCAAAGTAGTCTCACTAATACTGCTCTGATACTTTGGTCCCAGGTCTTAATAACTATGGAGAAAAGCTAAAAAATAAGAATTTATAAGCTAGCACAAATAAATATAAAACATTATTGTCATAAGAAATATAAGGTACATTGTTATGCAGTGCTACTCTGCTGTATCCAAGTTTATATTACTTTTGGTAAATGTTAGCAGCCTAGGGATGTATGTTATACAGGTGAAAATCTGCAAATTTTTGAATTGACAATATTAGAACTTCTATTGTTTTAAAAGCTTTTTAAGGAATGCAGATTAGAGCTGGTCTGTTTCTTTACAAATATGAAAAAATATGGCTACTATTTTTTATGCCACCTAAGGGTTGGAGCGATAACACAGCAGGAAAAGGCATTTGCCTTGCATGCAGGCCACCTGGCCGACCCAGGTTCGATTCCTCGGCCCTTCTCAGAGAGCCCAGCAAGCTACCAAGAGTACCTCACCAAAGGGAAAAGCCTGGCAAGCTACCCATGACATATTCGATACGCCAAACAGAGTAACAAGCGTCACAATGAGACGTTACTGCTCAATCAAATCCATGAACAACGGGAGGACAGTGACAGTGACAGTGAAGGTAGTTTTAAGCTCTAATTTAACAGTGTTGTTTTACTGTGAAATACAAAAGATCAAGAAAAAGAGGTCACGTTTTCTTTCTTTACTTTTTTTATGGGGGGGGGTCACACCTGGCTCATGCACTCAGGAATTACTCCTGGTGGTGCTTGGGGGACCATATGGGATGCTGGGAATCAAACCCAGGTTGGCCGCGTGCAAGGCAAATACTACTGTACCCACCGTGCTATCGCTCCAGCCCGTTTTTCTTTATGACAGATACAGCTTTTTTTGAATCTGATCTCAATTTATTGTTTTTAAACACAGCATTCTCAATTTATTGTTTTTAGACACAGCATTTTTCCCTGATTCCCCATACTGTAACATAAAAATCAAATTACTTCATTAGGCAGTTAATTATGATAATAGTTAAGGTATGATTTCTGCTATGAAGGTATTTAAACCTTCAGTCTACTATCCTTTGAAATCCAAACGAAAGATTTTTATACCACATTATATAATCTATTACATCTGTGCCATATAAAAGGAAAGAGAGACTTTCTTGCTATAAACTTATGGCACACGTTATTTAATTCTAATAGCAAAGGCAATATGGGTCAGAACTGCTGATCAAACACAGTGTCTTTAAATGAACTCAGTGGTTAGCAATAGAATTATACAGAGTGAGAGTATGTTTATGTGCAACAAATACAAACTATTATATGCATAAATTTCTATACAATAAACATACATTACATTTAAAAAATATAGTGTCTTAGAAGCTGCACTGTAAATGTGTTGCTTCTTTGGTTCATGTTCAAAACTGTTTTGAAAAATACTGAGCTAATCACCATGGTCTGCTTGCAGAACTTTGGACATTTTCAATAAATCTCTCTTCATATTGACCGAAATGATTCTACATAAGCAAGTGTCAGCCCAGATACTCATGCTGGAATTGTGAGTTTGGGTAGCTAATAAATTCACTAGTTGAAGGACAATTTCTTGAAACTCCATTATGAGAAATGACACTGATGCCTCATTAAAATCCCATTCAGTGAAGAGTGGCAGTTTTTAATCTCATGTAAAAAAATCCTTAAAAGACTTATTTAAAAACAAACTCCATAGCATGAGTTTCAGAATATATTTAAGAGTGGCCCAGACTGACTCATGAATAATAAGAACCATAAAGAAAACAACTTTATGGTGTTGACAAGACTTTTCTTATTCCATTCACTAGCTTTGCCAATTTCACAGTAGATAAGAACAGGGGTACAGGAGCCCTGAAGATCTGGATTTGGTCCTTGTCACAGAGCTTTTTTTGCTGAGATATGAGGTAAGTTACATATCCTCTTTGAGCCAATTGTTTTTATTCTCATCTATAAAATGATTTTAATGATATCTACCGCATATGGGTTGCTTTGAGAATTTGATTTATTTGCAAAGCATACTCTTTATGTACCAGATAACTTGAGAAAAGTAGTTGATAATTGCAAAAGGAACTATTTTGGATAAATTAATAGGTATCTGAAACATAATTACTTGTATTTCTCAAAGAAGACAATTCCTCACACTGAATTATGTTGTGTAAAGTTGTGTAACATTTATTAGAATTATGGTGCTAAAGATATGTAACATTTACTAACAAGTCAATTCGACTCTTTAATAATCATTTTAGTTTCTTTCTAATATATTGCCTGTCCCTTAAAAAGAAAAAAAAATCATTACCCAGAAGAGCAACGTGAGCGCTTTTTTTTTTTTTGGCTCTAGGCCCCCTATATTTCAATACCACACATCTTGCCTAAAGAGAAGAGTTAAGTGTACTATATGTATATATGTCTCCGTGTGTATATTCATGTGTGTATGTATTTACAGATGTGATTTTATGGAGGAAAGGATTCATTTATTTTATTCTCTTTCTTAACCAAGGTTGTCTGTGCTCAAATTATCTTTTTACTTCATTCTCTGAGTCCAGTACAACACTCATACACATAAATAGAAATATGAATTCCTGGAGAATATGTGCCATGTGTTAACTTGGAAAAATTGGAAGGGAGAGATAATATAGAAGATAAAAAACTTGTCTTATATGTGCTGACCAGTTTAATTATTGACATCTCATATGATTCCTTGAGTATCACTAGGAATGATTATTGAGCACAGAGTCACAAGTAAGCCCTGAGTAACACAGGGTGTGTCCCCCAATACAAAAACATTTGAAAGTGTTTTTAAAAAATAATGTTAAACTGAAATAAATTGTAATTAAAAATACATTTCGGGGACAGGAGCAATAGTATAGCAGGCAGGGAGCTTGCTTGCATGTAGCTGACCATGGTTGGATTCTCGGAACCTTATATGGTTTCCTCGGACCCTATATAGTTTCCTGTTTACTCTAGGAGTGATGCTTTTTGTTTGTTTTGGGGCTCTACTTGGCTGTTCTCAGGGCCTTCTCCTGGTTTGGCACTCAGGGATCATGTCTGGTTGGGAGGGCAGGGACCATATATGGCTGGGGATTGAAGATGGGTCAGCCACATGCAAGGGTGCATCATCCTTGAGCAGGAATCATGCTAATATTCTCTGTATTGCTCCAATTTTAGTATATATGCTGCCAGAGCAGGCACAACCCCTAACTTACTTTAAAATGAAAATTTTCAGTAGCCATGTTAGACTTGGAATCTATTAGCATTATCTAGGAAGTTATCTGCATTATACATAAAATAAAAATTAAGAGTTGTATAAAATCAATGATCAGCATAGGAATATCTAGGTTAAAGGCTTAGTATTATATGTGAATTATACTAACTCATCGTCAAACCACATATACTTAAAGTATATATTTGCATACGAAATAAACATAATTGTATGAATACTATAATTCAATCAGTATTTACTATAAAATTTAACAAAATATAGTTTATTGATATATAAAATATATCGCATGTAAATATTGTCTTTAATGTACATCTGACATATAATCTGGTCATACATACTTCGTTAACTTGAACCTAAAATAATAAGTGTTTTTTTAATATTACAGACAAAATAAACCATTTAGAATGTGTACTCATAGTCTTTTTATCTTCTCATCTCAGCCTCCCCCAATGATTAACAGTAACTATTCAGAGAAAAACTATTTCTCCCATCATATTAAATTAAATTAAATTATCTCATTCTAATGCCCCATATTCAATCTGCCTGCAAATATTAGACCCTACTTTTACAATATGCAGTCTTTGATAAAATGCCAATCAGGCTACATGTATCTTACCACTATAAACACTACAATGCATTTTATATAACAATTTTTGCTTCTATTAAAAATAAGAAAATAGTTGAACACTGTGTTAAAGGTTTTAGTTCTTTACCTTGTCTAGAATAGCAATAACCATGAGTCTTTAGTTCCCAAAGAATTTAAGGACTGGTGTGATTTTTTTTAATATATTAGAAATATGAATAGTTTTATTTCTTTACTTAACTGAAACCTGACAGAGTGAAAATTTGAAACAACGATTGAACTCAGATACTGAATATTAACTCTTATTGTTGTTATTGTTAAAATATAATTGGCTGTGGAGTTTCCTGAGCATTAAAAGATAGAGCTGCGAAGGTTCCATGCTCTGCTCAGGCCAAGATATGCACTGACAACACAAGGAATTGTCAGCTCAGCACTGTATACTTGGGCTTTCACACTGAAAAGCAGAGAATTATTAGGAGGGGCTTCCTAAATTCTGCTTGAGAGGGTCTCCCCTGAAAAGAAAATGATCATCTGAATAGTCAAGGTAAAGGTAAAGGTAAAGGCCCTCCCGTTGATCGTCGATTTGCTCGAGCGGGCCCAGTAACGTCTCCATTGGAGACTTGGTTGTTCCTGTGTCTGGCATATCGAATACTCTCGGTAGCTTGCCGGGCTCTCCGAGAGGGGCGGAGGAATCGAACTCGGGTCGGCCATGTTGGCCGCTTGTAAGGCGAACGCCCTACCTGCTGTGCTATCGCTCCAGCCCTGAATAGTCAAAAACATTTGAAATACAATAGCATAAATACTGATTCAATAAAATGGTCAGATCATGTTCACAACACTAAGAGAACATATTTTCTACATAAGCATAAAGATGAATAAGAAAAATAAATAGGAAATATCACTCTCATAATCAATAAGAACTATAATGATTGGCAAGCAATCTGTAATGTTTACATGAAGAAGATTGTCAAGAGTTGTTCCAGAGTAACACAAAGTAAGCTCTCTCAGGGAAAAAGAGAGACAGCCATTTTCCTAGACAGAAAACCTCAAAACTATAAAGATGTCATTTTCCCACAAATTAAATGTAACCATAATTAAGTTCCCAATAGGAATTTTCATGAAAGTTGACAGCTGATTATTAAGTTCATTTAGAAGAGAAAAAGCACAATAGGCAAAAGCTTTTGAGAGAAAGTAATAAAAAGGAATATGCTCTAACAGTTATTAAAAAACATTCTAAAGTGACATTTTAATTTTAGTCTAAATATATCAATAGAGCAGTATAGAGTGACCAGAAAAAAATCTGTGTACACATCATAGAATAGCAATACATGAAAATCAGTGAAGAGAAAAATGGGCTTTTCAAATTATTACATTCGGTGTGGAGGTAAGAAAAACAGTAGGGAGGGAGGGAAGGAACAAGGAAGAATGGAAATGAAAAGAGAAGAGAGAGGGAGGCAGAGACAGATAGACAGGAGAAAGGTAGAACCAAAGAAGAAAGGATATAGTAAGCAAAAATAAAAAAGCTTTCCATTTTTTCCTCACAACTTAACCTATTAAGCTGCAATTTTCTTTGAAAATCATTTTTCTTGGAATAGCCAACACTTTTTGATTAAAAATTGTTATAATGTTGAGTAGGACAAAAAGGATTTTTCATTGCAGAAAAAAAAAGATTGTTCATGTGGTGTGTTTCCTACCTGCTCTCATAATCTCTCTAGAAAAGCATATTTCTCAGATGTCTAACTCACATGTGTTTGTTTGTATAGAGGAAAAGATGGTGGCCACATATATATTTCCAGAAATGTACTGGAAAAATCAAACAAGAATATGCCACTCTATAAAATCTAGAAGTGAGTTTAAAAGGCAGAAAGGACTAGCTAGATTAACGCATTTAAAATAACTTATCTCTAGCACAGATACTTTATATAAAGATCTCCTCAAGTAGCTACACAACAACAACAAAATAAATGCAGTATGGATAATTCAAACTATGTGAGGTAAATCCTTTATGCTTTAATTTTTTAAAAAATAGTTTTAATAAGACCATTGCTAAAAAATAAACAGCCAAATTAGATGTAAAAAGGAAACTGTGGATCTTGTTCCTCAGACTCAAAATTATATTTTGTATACAAAATACAATACATCACAACGGGTAGGGTGTTTGCCTTACACGCAGCAGACCAGGGTTTGATTCCTCTCTCCCTCTTGGAGAACCCGGCAAGCTACAAAGACTATCCTGCCCGCACAGCAGAGCCTGGCAAGCTCCCCATGGTATATTTGATATGCCAGAAACAGTAACAAGTCTCACAATGGAGATGTTACTGGTGCCCGCTCGAGCAAATCGATGAACAATGGGATAACAGTGCTACATGCAAAATACAATTTAGATAAAGCAAGTGGAAATTCATATGGTGAAAAATAACTAATGACATGAAAGAAGAACACGATATTATGACGTATTATGACAGTAATCCAGAGGGAGATTATAGTTCAAAATAAATGGAGAAATTGGGCCTGTAGAGAAAAGGTAGGGTGGCTTTCATACACACTGCTTAACTGGGTCCTGTCCTTTGTACTCTAAATGGTCTCCTGATTCTCTCTGGGAATAATCCCTGAGCACAGAACCAGGAGTAATCTTTGAGCACTGCTAGTTGTGCACGCCCCCGACCCCCAATAAAAGGGTATTATGACAGTTGTGTAGGGAAAAGATGATCTAGGTTAAGAACTACTGATTTTTTGTTGTTGTTTTTTTAAAATACTAATAACAAACATACCCGAAATGGGTGATATAATAAAGTTCATACTATAGCACTGCAATGTCTTCCTGTTGTTCACCAATTTTCTCGAGAAGGCCCAGTAACGTCTCCATTGTGAGACTTCTTGTTACTTTTTTTGGCATATCGAATACGCCACAGGGAGCTTGCCAGGCTCTGCCATGTGGGTGGGATACTCTCAGTAGCTTGCCAGACTCTTCAAGAGGGGCGTAGGAATCAAATTCAGGTTGGCCATGTGCAAGGGGAACTCCTTACCCGCTGTTCTATCACTGCTGCCAAATAAAATTCACAAACTAAATTAAATAGAATGCTAAAAAATGATCAGGAATAACTTGCTGAAATCCCAGGAGAAAAGTATCTACCAGATATCAGAATGTTTTTAGGTAATATTCAGTACTAGCATTTGATGGAAGAATGAGTTTAAAGTAAAAGAAAAGATGGAAAATTAGTAAATTCCCAAATAAGAATGGAAACAATGAGGCATTAATTTTTGCATAGAAATTTCAAGACTTACAGACAAACTAATAAAGCTAATTACTAATGAAAACAAGGAAGAATTGAATGATTCTGAAAATGAAGTTAGGAATGAAAACTCCACAATGAAAGGAGGAGTGATGTTGAAACCTGCAACCATCTATATGCAAAATCAGGACCCAAGTTCCAAGGCAATTAAAATCGCAGAATAGAATGTAAATATTATGAACTCTGATGAAGAAAAAATAATGTAATTACCAAAAAATTGAAAATGAAGAAAGGTGAGGACAAATTGGAGAGAAGCTAATCATCTAAAATTGCACTGCAGGGAGTTAATGAAGACTGTCTTGAATTAATACATGGAGCTAATGCATCTAGCTTGTAATGGTATTCATAATCTATTCTTAACCATGAAAACAAGATTAAAAATTCTTGTGGTAAAAAAATTTTGTGGCATTTTTTAAAAATTATTCCCGATTTATTTCAGATTATTTTATTGCATTTCACATATTAATTCTAAATCAAGTGTTTCTATTTCCATCTATTTTTTATCTGAGATATCACCATCCCATAGTTATTTTTTCTTTGTATAGTGATTTTACATGACTATGCTTTCTAAAATGAGTAAAGATGTTGTAATAAAATATTAAATTACCTATACTAAACACATAAATTTAAAGTAAATGGCAATAAAATAATAATAAATATTAAATATCATCTGCCAGTTCCTTCATGCATGAGACTTGTCCGAACATGTGGAGAGTGGTCTTCAGCATGAATGTGGCTAGAACTGGAGGTCTTCAGCTGCCGGGGCTCTGCTTGGGGTGTGGAGGGAAACTCATCCCAACCTCCTCCAAGGGGCCCTGGTGAGGACAGCCAGGTGTGGAGGCAGGAGACTCTGCACTGTTCTCTTCCGGGGGCAGGATTTTATAGTCTCTGGGTCTTGGCCGTTGGAACCAGGTGTGCGGGACCCAGGGCGTAGATCTCCAACCCTGCTCGGATTGGGACTGGGCCTCCTCTACCCAGATACCCCATCTTCCAGTATGTAGGCATTACACCCACCAACTGACCCCAGAGCCCTGTAATCCCATCAATGGCCAAGACCCAGAGACTATAAAACCCTGCTCCCAGAAGCGCACGGCAGCATTTGTGGCTCTGTGACATCTTATTATCTAGTTCTTACTCTGGATAATCTGGTAGGCTACCAAATGTATCCTGCACCTATGGCAGAGTCTGGCAAACTCCCCGTGATGTATTCAATATGACAAAAACCAGTAACAATGATGGGTCTCATTCTTCTGACCCTGAAAGAGTCACGAATATGGCACTTCTTAGAATCTCAGGGCTATGATTAAGGAGACGTTATGGAGCCTTCTCGAGGAAATCAATGAACAACAGGTTGACAGTGATGCAGTGATCTATTAATATAGTAGTGTTTTTTGTGTATTTATTTATTTATTTATTTATTTATTTGGGGGGTCACACCTGGCAATGTACAGGGGTTACTCCTGGTTCATGCACTCAGGAATTACCCCTGGCAGTGCTCAGGGGACCATATAGGATGTTGGGAGTTGAACCTTGGTCGGCCGCCTGCAAGGCAAACACCCTACCCACTGTACTATCGCTCCAGCCTCTATAGTAGTGCTTTGTACAGGAGAGAGAAACATTTCTAGAGAAGATTTGCAAGGAGATTAATTTGTTAAGTGACTAGAAAAGAAACTGGCTGTGTTTATTAGACTCCAAAAGGCTTTGCGTCTTGCTAAAGAATTGAGTACAGGAGGCAACACTGGTAAACTCAGAACTAAATTAACTGCACAGTTTTGAGGTCTGGAGAAAGACTGAACAAAAAGAGGGAAAAGCAGAACCTTAAAAACCTGCTTGCCAAAGTACAATGAACTCAAAGTTCTTGGTTTTTTGGAGAATAGTTATTGAAATTAGAATGATCTGGTAGAAATTTTCTGGCAGAATTACTGCTTTGTCCAGTAGCTCAATGGGATAGGTAGTATTGATGAGGTAATCACCTTAACTTAAGAAGTTTGAATAGAAAAAAGTGAAAGAGAAAGATAGAGAGAGCTATTGAATTAAATGTAACTGATAGTTGGTAAGTTCCAAACAAAGTAATACTTAGAGAGGATCTTAAGAGCCATGGAGTCATAATTTTCATTTAGCAATCCATGATCCACATTAAAATTTGAGACTCATGAAACCTCACCAAATATAGTCTACTCATATTATAATAAAACTGGCTGTTTACATAGAATTTGACCTAATATAGACCATGCACCTTCAAGACTGACTCATAATCTTACTAAGATTTGTACAAGTTAGTCCCATATTCCACACCTTCATGCTATTCCTTTCTGAAAAAAATATATATATAACTTTATAGAAGCTTACTGAGAATTTTATTCCCAGGGAATAGTGTTATTTTTGAAACATTTTTTGGAGTTTTAAGGTATATAGCGCATAAGATATAATAAACTTTTTTGGTAGAATATTTGTTAACACCTTAGAAATGATTAACTCTTAAAAAACTTGGAAAAGGAAATAAAGCATTATGGATAATGATAAAAATCAAATAGATATTTGGCCACTGGGAATAGAATTTGAGTTAGGAGTTAGCTTGTAGAGTAATAGGATCTAAGTTGATTATGTCTTGGATTGTTAGGTTAGAATAATAAGTGCAGATATATGAGAGAAACTACATTTTCTGCATAAGATCAACTGTTTGTGTTTCCATGTTTAGGATTAGATAACTATTTTATCTGAACATAATTTTAATAAAACATTTATTTCAGTGTAGAATATTGGAAACTTAAAAGACAACAATCTGATGCAGGAAAACACACAACTACAATGAACGGGGGAATGTCCAAATGAAAATTATTATACACAATATTTTTAAATTGCATACCCTTAAGTATCCTTTAAGTAATACAGCTTATATTATGATTAACTTTAGTACTTTATTATGAAATATCTACATACGCAAACATGCTGCATTCATAAGTTTAAAATGCAAGAGTGAACTTGAAACATTTTAAAAACTGACTTCTGATATTTTTGCATTCTTTATTAGGCCAAAATGAATATTTAGCAAGTTTATACCAAAAATAACATTATTAATATGCAATCTGTCACTGTCAGGGTCCTCCTGTTGTACATTAATTTGCTCGAGTTGGTCCAGTAATGTCTCCATTGTGAGACTTGTTACTCTGTTTGGCATATCAAATAGGTCATGGGGAGCTTGCCAGGCTTTGCCATGTGCACGAGATACTCTCGGTAGCTTGCCAGGCTCTCGAAGAGGGGCAGAGGAATCGAACTCGGGTCGACCAAGTTGGCGGCTTACAAGGAAAACACCCTACCCACTGCACTGTCACTCCAGCCCAAAATGCAATCTAAGACTTAGTAAAACTGTAACTCTTTCTTTCCTCTTTTTTTTGGGGGGTGGGGGGTGCAGTAATATTGTGGAAGAGAATAAACAACCTCTTTCATGAACAAGAGAATCCTAAGTGGGAATTTCTCATAAAAGACATATTGTTTACTTTTTGTAGTGCCTGTATAGAGAAATTTTAAGTGGTATATGATTCTCGAGCAACTTTTTTTATGATTCTCGTGTTCTGTCTCAGAAGTAAGCCTAGTACTGATAGATGGTCGACCTGGATCACACCTGTATCATGCCATACTGCTCGGTCAAAAGCAAACCAGGGAGAGAGGAGACTTTGGGAGCACGCCCAGACTGGGGATGTGAAGGGAGCATACAGATTCCACTGACTACAATTACTTTCAGACATGTTTTTAAATATGTGATGTGAACTTTTTCGGTGTAATGGGTTCAAAAGTTCAAGAACCTGATCTTCCGTGCTGAAAAATCAATGCATTTTCTAAAGGTCTTTGATGGAGTAAGTATATATCCCAGTTCCCCACCGTACTTCCGGTTAACGTCTAAGGGTGTTCTCTGGAATATGTTCTGGCTGAGAAGGTAAATTCTTTGACCTGTCTGTGAGCCTCACAATTATTTCTGAGTTCTATTTACAAAGAGTCTCTCAAAGTTGACTCAGAATCTTAGAAGATTATTTTCTGATGAGGAATTTTATTAGGATTACTGAAGATCCATTAGACCTATTTGACAAACAATTGTTGCTGTTTTTGTCCTTGTTTTATCAATTAGATATTCTCACCTTCTCATATTAGGAATTGTCCTGATTTCCACAAGTGATTTTTTAATTCCTCCAATATTTAATTTTAGTAATACCAAACACAAGAATAAACTGTGAGTAAGTGGCAGGTGGGTGACTTACCATCAGAGGTAAGATACTAAAACCAAACTGTTGACCTCACTGAATTATCTATATAATTTAGTCATGCAAGGAGAGGTGTTCATGTGTCTTATGTAGTATCTGTATAGAGAAATTTTAAGTGGTTTATAATTCTTGTATTCTGTCTCAGATACTAATTAGATTGTATTAGTATACAATTAGTATACAATAAATATTAGTATACAATCCTAATTAGAATCAAATAAGTAAAATAATCTCATTATAAAATTGCTAGAACAGTGCATAAGCTATTAGAGTCTTAGTAAAGCCCTACAGGTGCAGGTATTTAAGTTCAAAATATAAAGTAGGCATTATTAACCTAGTAGAACATTTCAATTAAAAAAGAACCCTTTATCTGTTTTCACTTTGCTATATTAAAAATTTGTATTTTCAATGAAAAATTATAGTATCTTTGGAATCCATTTGTTCTGATAGTTAACATCGGTAATACCAAACATTATTTTAGTTTAAAGTAGATAATAGTAATACAATAAAATTTATACAATTTATAAAATAATATTAATTTTGTTTTATAAATTACTTGCCCGACTCACAAATAAAAACATATCCCAGGAAAATGTCAATAAGTTTGAATAATATATTTTTTTACACAATAAAAATTTTTACCTTTTGAGAAGTGAAAAATGTCTAAAAATGTCTAAATCATAATCTTTTGATTTTTAGCATGCAACTAAGTGATAATACATACAGCACACACACATACACACAATAAAAATTTGGAAGTATATTCTAATTTGCTTTAAGCAATATACATCCACAAATTAATCTATACACTAGGAATCTTGGCCATTTCTTTTAAAAATGCACATTCATTAAAGCAGAAAAGATATATAATATAGTGAATTAAAATAATTTATATAAGTCAATGCTTCTCTAAAATATTATTCATGATGTAGCAAATGACCCTTTGAAATTACTCTTACTGTGTACTTTAAACTTCATTACAAACAGAGGAACAAATTTTACAGAGAAACAAATTTTACAGACAGACAAAAATAACAGTGTTGTTTAATTCAATATGATTTTCTCATCTATCAGTTTGAAACTATCTTTCTCCACTGACTTTTCATGTGTTTCATTATTAGTTATTTTTTTTAAATAGCTCTTTAGTTTAAGGAAATTAAATACACATTGAAATATATAAGGGGATTCTATCCTAGTATTTCAAGCTAAAATATAACCACCAAATTATCTTTTAGAGTAATCCAAAGCCAGTACCACATACCTTTCGGGAATGAATTTCTTTCACATACAATGGAAGTAGAAACTCAGATATACCTTCAAGTCGGATTCCCTTCTTGGTGACTCTCAGATTTCCCATACCATCCTACAAGCAATGAAATATAGTTCATTTTAGGTTAAATAGAGACTGAATAACAGGCCAAAATTTATTAGGCCTACATTGAGAAAACAGTAAGTTCAAATAGTGATGATTTAAGGAAAATGAGAGATTAAATCTACTTCATGAATGACTGCAGCGGTTTTCATGCATACTGAGGAATCTATTCAGATGAATAGCGAAGGAAGTAATATAAAGAACCTGATATCTTCTCCCAACTCTATTAGAGACTAGAATTTATGAAATAAATCTGTACATTCTTCAGAAGCTTCACCCACTCTCAGCTCTCCATATTGCTTTCCATGATTTCTATGAAAAGCAAAATGGAGATCTATTAAAAACTAGAGAAGCAGAACTACTATTCTTCCCAGTGATAACACTTCTTTGTATACACCCCCCAAACAATATTAATTCTAAGAGATATACGTACACCTATGTTCATTGCAGTGCTAAATGCAATAGCCAAGATACAAACACAACCAAAATGCCCAACAATAGATGGATGTATCAAGCTGTGATGTATGTAAACAATGGAATGCTATAAAGTTCTAAGGAGAAAAAAACTCATGCAATGTATCATGGCATGGATCATGCTAGAGGATGTCAAGCTGAATGAAGTCAGTCAGAAGGAAAGGGATAGATACATTCTTTCTCATGTGTGGGACATAAATATACACAGCAAGAAAGCAACAAAGGACCAAAGGCAACAAAATGGATGAATTTATTCACATAACTAAGTTTGGGGATAGAGTAGTTTTGAAAGGCAAGGATGCTGGGGATATTAAGGCTGGGGCTGGTTATAGTGATGATGGGTCTGATGTTGAAACTATGCATATGGAAAAAATCATTTGTAGTATTGTAAATCACAGAACCTGAATCAATAAAAATAGCTAAAAGTAAAATAAAAGTGACAGGTAAAAAATAAACCTGTACTTTCTACATGTATTAGCCAAGTTAAAATGTAGGTATAATTATACTTGCTAACTGACTCTTGTAAACAACTGTTTTTGCACAATCATCTAGCAATGTTTTATTAAAGTTATGCACATGTTCCTACATTAAGTGTTCACATTTGTACAATAATTTTAAAAATTATGATTGCCAAATATAAATTTAGTGTTCTAGTACTCAAAACTTGAGTAACAATTGTGTTGTGTGTTTTTTATAGAACATAAAACTGTATGAGGACAAAACAAGTGCATAAATCACATAAATGATATTTAAAGATAAGAAGTAATATGTTACTAATTAAATTAAAAATATTTCAATCTGCTAAGAGGATAAACTGTTTTTCCTAGAAGATGTTAACAGGAACAATTCAAGAAAATGGAATTTCAAAAAGTGCCTTCCATAGAGGAAAGTACAATGCACACTTTGAAATAATTTTGAGATAACACACCATCACTTAGGCTAAAAGGTATATATTCAAATAAAATAAAAATTAGAATATCTTTTGAGAGCAGAAGAGTGAAAGTCATGAATAAAGACCCGAAATGTCTCTACTCAAATAAGTCCCCAAGAGAAGACATAGAAATTTCTTGAATAGGTCAGTGACTTGGAATGATCAGAGTACGCCTTTGGCATTCATCTGGTAGAATTACTATGTGGGCTAACCTGACAAAGAATAAGTTAAAATTTGCAAACTGTTAAGGGACAATTTACAAAAACGTGTGAGTTAATCTAACTGGTGATACTGTAAAGAGGGACAATGAAATACCACCTCAGACTTTAAGCTATCCACTAGATCACTTAAATACTAAAATTTATAGGTGCAATGGCAAAAATAATTGCAGTTTTTACCTCCTAAGATTGAGATGTAAAAATTCTAGCTATTTACCCTAAATGATGTAAAATATCAATTTGGGAATAAGTTGCATAAGATATAATTAATCAAGCATGATAGATGAGCACGTTACTTTGGAAATATGTCTAGAAAATCTTGGAGATTCGTAGATAATGATTAGACCTTTGGGAAAAATATCTACTACAATAAGTAAGCTTTTATCTGTGGGGAAAAAAACATCTTATCTATTCAGGTAGACTTTGATCTGTGTAAGTTCTTTCCCCCGCCCCCAGAAAAATTTAACAAAATAATATAACAATGAGTGGAATTTTCAGTATAAACTTTATTAATGGGTCCTTGTTCAGTTGGAATGAATGAAGGAATTTATTTCTTGTAATCAGTGAAAAAATATCGTCAAAAACCCTAGAAACACCCACGTAGGAAACAATTACAAATTTTAAAATAATAGAAGAATTTCAAGTCATTAAAGACTTGCTAATAAGATATATTTTTGATAATATAATAGCAGACTCACATTTTTTTTCTGAAATAGGTTTATAATAGTTTTGTATAGTGCTCTTTCACTTTCCAAAATATCTATGCTCCATACAAAAAATGATGTGGTCACCTACTAACTGGTTCTTATTTATAACTTTTATACTATGTTGAAATAGAAACAGGCAGATATATCTGTGACAGAGACCGAAAGGTGAGCATTTGCCAGGTACGAGAGTCTGAAAGCTGTACGGGATAGAACCTAAGTATCAAAACACTGCACTTCCTCAAATGCTAAACGTTATTTACTTTGCTAATAGAAACAAGGCTGCTGGAAGCGATAGCACAGCGGGTAGGGCGTTCGCCTTACAAGCGGCCAACATGGCCGACCCGAGTTCGATTCCTCCGCCCCTCTCGGAGAGCCCGGCAAGCTACCGAGAGTATTCGATATGCCAGACACAGTAACAACAAAGTCTCCAATGGAGACGTTACTGGGCCCGCTCGAGCAAATTGACGATCAACGGGAGGGCCTTTACCTTTACCTTTAATAGAAACAAGTAAAGCTGGAGAATGTTGGGCTATAAAACAAGTTATGGGGGAAATAATGATAACTGACAACTGGAGATAGATGAATGATAAATTTCAACAGCAGTTAAGTAGGAGAGGGGCTGGAGAAATAGCTCATCAGGGCTGAGTCTTGCATTGCATGTGGGAGGCCGGGGTTCAATCTCTGGCACCGTTCCTCAAGCGCCACCGGGAGCAACACTGATCATAGCTAGAAGTAGTCTTGGAGCACCTCCAGGTATGCAGTACAAGATAAAACAAGTAAAGAAAGGGATATAAGTTATGTCAACCTTCAATATAGGTCATCAGGGAATGGAATTTCATGAGTTTTTGAGAATAACAGCCTTCTAGACATAACGTCCCGAAGCACAGTAAAGTGTTGGAGGAAGACATAAAGATTAAGTTCACTTTATAGGAACAAAAAAAAAGAGAATATATTCAGAAAGCCAAGAATTTTACAACATATAAGCTGACACATGACTTAAAATATTTTGTCTCACAGGGATTTTCTTGGCTAAATCTCACACCATTAATAGTCCATAAATTCTGTAGCTCCTGCCAAAATAAAATGTTCTGGAGTATTCCCCCAAGGTATTACTATGGAAATATCTGTGCAACTGTTACACTATTTGAGGGCAAAAGAAAAAAATGTCATAAATTTAAATCTAAGTTCCACATAGGTTCCCCTACTCTCTGCAAGTACAGTCTTCCTGGGAATCCTTTCCTAAGACAAAATATGACAAAATAATGAATCAATTACCACTAATCTTTATGGAAATATATTTCAGCATTCCCAGACCCTCAAATTAATTCATTACACCACACTAAATAAAACATTAAACCTAAAACAACCCTCACACACAATAAAAAGCAGAAGTTGTATGATAAGCACGAAGCGTGCATAAAAGGTAGCACCCTTTCCCTTTCTGGGGAGGAGTTTGTCTGGACCACTCACACTGCTTGGTGCGTGATCTCTCTAGAACTGCTGTGGTAAACACTGAAGGTTCTTTGCTTTCCTTTTAAAGTTGTGAAAGTGTAAATATTCAGGGCTTCTTTTAGTTAGTAAATGCAGGGTACTATAGTTCTTTTGTAGAAGTTGCAAATGTATATGACAAGAATCAGGGACGCATGCTCATTTTTTTTTATACTCCAGATTAGGAATAAAAGAAATGGATATCAAATTTGAACTGTGCTATTGCCTTTATATACATGTATATTGCATAAACATATATACGTGCACACACATATATGTGAATATATATGAACTATATATATTGTATATATATACACATATGTGTGCATATACACACACATATGTGTATATATATACATATAGAGACCTGGGCCCTATGAAAATAGGATGAGAACGCTATTCGGGTCTCCCAAAGAGAAATCAAAGAGCTATGCTTGGAGTATGACATTTCACTCAAATGAGAGAAAGAATCCTGAGTTCCGACCTCTGTTGATGGTGGTCAAGAATCAGGGACGCTGTCTTGTTTGGCAAGATATCGAAAATCAGATGGGCTGGTCACATAATGAGATTTGGAGACGACCACTGGACTAAAGCTCTTACTGCCTGGATTCCATGGGACGTCAAAAGACTGCATGGCCGCCCACCTACAAGATGGTCAGACTTCTTCCTCAAGACCCTGAACAATCGGTTTGAGGCTCTTCGTGTTCCTAGAACAAATAGATGCCATTGGGCTGCACTAGCACGCTACAAGAACGAATAGAGACATTACTGGCGCCTGCTCAAGCAAATCGATGAGTAACGGGAAGTCAAGTGATCAAGTGATATATATATAAAAGTTTTGGGGAGCCATGCCCAGTGATACTCAGGGCTTACTCCTGCCCTCAGGAACTGAGCTTACTTTGCACTCGGGAATCACTCCTGGAAGTTTTGTGGACCACATGGGATGCCAGGGATCGAACCCTGGTTGTTTATGTGCAAAGCATTTAAATGGCCTACCTGCTGTACTATCGCTCTCAGCCCCATGTTTATTATTTCCTCTGCATATTTAATATTGGCAAAACTTTTATAAATAGGTGTCTCTCGTAGTGGAACAAGCTTTGTGATAACCTTTTGATCCAGATGTTTGGGCTTTAAGATTCAATACCTAAGACCAGTCACAGGGGTTGCTTGGGT